TCATCAGCTGATGAGAGATTGTTTCCAGCTGTGTTCTCCAGCTGCTCTGATTGTTCTGAACTTCTTCAGCTCCTGGAGGTTTATTTAAAGGAGTTTCTACCTCCTGCTGTCACATTATCAATCTTTTCCATCCTTGGGTTCAGGAGCAGACTCTGCTGTGTCCTGGTATGAGTTAGGAGCACGATGGCGCCTGCAGGTGTTTTAGTTGCTCTGATGTGCTTGGCCTGTGGAGCCACAGACGCCATCAGGCCCCTTCAAGAGGGTCCGATGATCGATGACGAAGGGAGGGAGTATAAATCCGGCCCTCCTCTGGACAGCAGCAGAGCAAAGTTCAGCAACGAACCCACTGTCCGTGTGCGGTGCACCGAGGCGTCCATGATCATCTTCATCCAGGCTGACTTCTACAGAACCGGCCGTCTGGTGGACCCAGGAGAGCTGTTCCTGGGAGATGGCGAGTATTCAAAGGGCAGCCGGTGCCAAGCTGTTCCTGCTGGTGATGAGTACATCATTGAAGCTGACCTGCAGGACTGTGGCTCTACATTAACTGTAAGCTCCTTTTTTTTTTTATCACATTTCTTATCATTCTGGAACAATGCTCCTAACTCTCGCTCATCTTCAGGTCACTGATGATGAAGTGATCTACTCCAACAACCTGAGGGTCTCTCCTGTTGTGGGTTATCATGGCATTACAAGGCTGAGTGAAGCTGTCGTTCCGATCTCCTGCCACTACAAAAGGTATTTAATTTGTTGTGGAAGAAGTTTAATTCATTTCAGTAATTGCTTTTCTCTTGTTGTGACAGGAAACACACTGTGAGCAGCACGACTCCGCAGAAGAAACCTCTAACGTTCTCCACTGCAGGAGRTTCTCCTTTCTCCCTCAAACTGATGACTGGTAGGTGTGGAGTTTAACTGCTGGCTTTAGTTTTAAAATTAATCTGTTTTTCAGGAATCCTCTTCTTTTCTCCCTGTAGATAACTGGTCAGATGAGCGGTTTTCCAACAACTTCCTCCTTGGTGAGCCCGTGCACCTGAAGGCCTGGTACTYTGGTCCTGAGTCCAAGCAGCTGTTTGTGGACAACTGTGTTGCCACTCTGACCCCTGACCCCAAATCAGTGCCACGATACTACTTCATTGAAAATCATGGGTGAGCGCAGGCTGACTTATTTTAGGTTACTTTAAGCCTAAAAAAAAATTAAATAATGTAGCAGACTGGTTTTTTTTCCCCCCTCCCATCAGGTGTTTCACTGATGCAAAAAATGGAGGCTTAAATTCGTTTTTCCTGCCCAGATCATCAGCTAACACTCTTCAGTTCAAGTTTGATGCTTTCCTGTTTTATAAAGAATTAAGGAACACAGTAAGAATTTTACTACTTTTTAAAAAAAGGCAATAAGTCCAAAGCAGACTGCAAATGACTACAGTCACAATTTTGTTTTAAAGATCTATATAACTTGCAAACTCAAAGCTACACGTCCACTGAAGAGCAGTCCTGTCAACAAAGTCTGCAATTATGAGCGCTCAAGGTAATTTTTTATTTTTGTCCTACACTGAGAATTTGTTTTTATAATTCAAATATTCGATCTACTGGTTTTAATTTAGAAAAAGTTYATAATGGGTTGTAATGGAAGTTGATGTGAACTCTTCCTTTTTTTTTATTTTTTTTTTTTTTTGTCAAATGACCAAAAAAGTGAACTCTTCTTGACTAAAAGTTCAAAATCAGGATCTCTGAGGATGCTTGAAAAATTAAAGGGCATCTACACACTTAATGACTGTAAAACTCATTCATCTTATTGTCAAACTTAAGTGTGGTTTTTTTTATATAATCTTAATTGGCTTTTGTATAATATCTTTAGATGGACAAATATGGATGGAAATGACAGCATGTGTAGGTGTTGCAATAGTGTCTGCCATAACAGACAATCTAAAGGTAAGACTTTAGAGTTTTTTTTTTTTTTTTTTTTTTTTTTTTTTTTTTTTTTTTTTTTTTTTTTTTTTGTAATTGTAACGATTAACTTTTTTTTGCAGATGTGGTCTGCGACACCTTGGCCCTCGGTCCTTTGCTAGTTTTTCCCAGGAAATGATGAACGTATCTGGATGGCAAACTCTCAGCACCCTGTTTCAACTGACAGAAAATTTCAAAAGTACTGAAATTGTTTTATTGAAGAGAAGCTATCTGAATAAAACTTGAGTTACAAAGTAACTTGCTTGTTTTTGTGAGTTGGTGTTTTGAGTGTTTGTCTAAAGCAGTGGTCCCCAAACTGCGGCCCGCCTCCACATTTGGCCCGGCCCCCTGAACAATGTCTGAAAGGCATTATTTTTGAATCTGGCCTGTGAATCCTTGGCTGTTAAAGAAAATCCAAGGGCGTAACTTTAGGTCTAACATGGGGGGGGGGGCCTTGAAAACCCTGCATTTTAATTTTCAGCATTTATTCTTAAACATACATACAACATGATGTAAAATTTTAAAAGTCAAAGTTGCCTAAAGACAAGATTTTCAGCTGTCTGCTTAAACCAGTTTTCTAATGTGTTTGAGCAAATGTCATTTTATTGGGTTGTCCCCCCCCCATTTC